AAATATCATTGCTTCAATCCATTCCAATTGTTATTGCTTATCCTTTTTTAATTTTTCAACCTCAGGCCTTTTTGCAGCAGCTCATGACATGAAGATGGAGTGGCTTGTCGTTAAAGGTGTTTGTGACTTTGTACATGGCAGTGGATTTACTAAGGATTCATGGAAGACTTTTGCTTGTGTAATGGCGGCCTCTGTTGTATCTAACATTTTTGGTGACTCTTCAGTGTTTGAAGTCTGGCCTCATTATGGAAGTATGTTTATGTTTATGATATACTACTCTGGTCTTGTCTTCTAAGACATCTAGGAAATTGAAAGTTTGCCTTTGTAAGAGATATCTTTATATCTCATACCTTTGCATGAGATATCTTTATAGAACATTAAATTAACAGTGAAATGACTGCTTGATTATGTTAAAAATGTATTCATACATGTATTCCTCCAAAAATATTTTAATTCTTCAAGTTGGTGAATTTCAATCTGTTCTTCTTTTAATTTTCTCACGATTGTGAGGTGCCATTTTTATCTTCTTCCAGTGCTCTTCTCAATTCTTACTTGTTACCCATTACAAATCTGTGAAGTTTATTTTACTTTTAAAACTTTGATTTAATATTCCTCTTACAGACAATTTAGCGAGAGAGGGGAGTGGGAATACTGATGATTCTTCTAATTGTGAAAGCAAAAGGGTGGCAGGTATTATATTTTTCTTTTGTGGTAATTTATTATTTTAATTGTTTTTTAAAGGTTTTTTCATTTCTCTTAAGATATTTTAATCTTCCTCCAGCACTCTTTTCAATTCTTACTTAGTATCCAATGCATATTTGTGAAGTTTTTTTTTTTTTTTACCTTTGAGTACAGTTTGATTTAATTTTCCCCTTACAGACAATGTAGCTAGAGAGGGGAGTGGCAACAGTGATGATTCTTCAAATTATAAACGCAAAAGGGTGGCAGGTATTTTATTTTTCTTTTTTTAGTAATTTCTTATTTTCGTTTTTTTTCACAGTTTCTTCATTTGTCTTAAGATATTTTGATCTTCCTCAAGCGTTCTTTTCAATTCTTACTTGGGGTCCAATTTATATTTGTGAAGTTTTTTTTTCACTTCATTTTCCCCTTACAGACAATATAGCCAGAGAGGGGACTGGGAACAGTGATGATTCTTCAAATTATAAACGCAAAAGGGCGGCAGGTATTTATTTTTCTATTATAGCGCTTTCTTATTTCCATTTTTTCTTCACGGTTTCTTCATTTCAGAACTTGGGTCTTCGGTGATATTGTCGATTCCATCTACTCTTTCACGCACGTGATAAAAAACTTGTTCTGTTGGCCTATCAAACTTTAGTGCTTCACTCAATGTTTTGAAATGCTAATTTGTCGCAAATTGCACTCGAAATCATGTGATTACCTGTACAAATGCGAGAGAAATTGAAATTTCAGCTTTTTTGTTGTGTCTTAACAGAATATTCTCCAGAAGAAACCTTTGATGTGAAATCCTGTAGAGATAAACTTGCAGAGCATTATAAAAGAACCGCCACGGTGCCCACTTCTGTGTGGTCCAAAGCATGTCCCGTGAAGATTGACCAAATTTACACTAGACTCTCCGTGGTAAAAGAGGAACCAGCCCCGTCTGGGTCATCACACTCAAAGCTGAATCACTACACTGAGATTTTCATTGATGGCGAAGGAAACACACAAAAGAGAATACTTGTTCAAGGGCAGACTGGAATTGGAAAGACCACGTTTGTGAAGAAAGTTGCTGTAGACTGGGCAGAACTTAATGACGAGAACACTGAACTCGACGTGAAGCTTGCAGAGAGTCCAAACTACGAAGTCGAGTCAAATGACGGATCAGTTAAAGGCTTGGACGAAATTCAGAAGCAAGTCTTGAAAAGATTCGAACTTGTTCTTGTGGTTAATCTGAAGGAAGCTTCCAAATGCCAAACCCTCAAAGAAGTCTTGCATCATTGCAATATTTTTCCTGAAGAAGACTCAGCTTTGGTAGATGAGATGCTAAGTTATATCACGGAAAATCAAGAGAAAGTGTTGCTGATGTTTGATGGCTACGACGAGTATGGTTGTGGACTAAACTCCGAAATCTTCGACATATTTAGAAGAAAGAAACTGAGAAGTTGTTGTGTCTTGATAACAACTAGAATCTCCAAAGCGGATGAGCTTCGAGAGTTTAAGGATGTTTATGCCGAGGTCACCGGGTTCAGCTATCAGGAGAGATTTTCCTTTATGTGCCGATTTCTTGGCAGTGAAACAGAAGCAGAAGAGCTGTTGGGTCACCTATTTAGAAAAAATTTGACAGATTTAGCAAAAATTCCCCTCCTTCTCCTCTTCTTTTGCACTTTGTGGAAAAAAGGTAAAGTGAAGACCTTCCCTGATACCAAAACGAACCTGTACCTGGCGATTGTTCAATGCGTTGTGGATTATAATCAAGGAAAGAGTTCTCCTGCCCAGTTCAGCAAACTAGAAGACTTCCAAGATATCCTAGCTGAGATAGGAAAGGTGGCGTTGGAGTGTCTCTTAGAGGACGACCATGTATTTGAGTATGATCAACTCTCCTCTGCCATCCGTTGTGAAGAAAGTCGCATCATTGGTTTGCTTCAAGTTACCGAGTACGCAGAGAACCTTCGACCAGCAGGGTTGGTGTCCTTTATCCACAAGAGTATACAGGAGTTCCTAGCCGCGTGGTACATCACCTACAGATGTGTCCCTAAAAAGCATCTTGGTGGAATGGAGAAACATGCCCGCACTTGGGAGAGTTGTGCCGCTTGGGAGAATGTCTTTCAGTTCATTTGCGGTTTGTCTAATAATGGAGCAGTCATAGTTCTAGACCACCTTACTTCTGTCAGAATTGCTACACCGGACTTGGATTTATCGAAGAAAGTATCAGATGTAGACAACGATACGGAGGCACCATTAAATGACTTAACTGACAGGCACGTCAAGGTCAATGACTTCGTTCTTAATTTCCTTCTAGAGGCTCAGTCAAAAGATGAACTCTTACGACGCTATTTTGATTGTCTTGGAGGTATAATCTTGGTTACCACATCACTTTCTCGCCTTCTACAAAAGATGGAAAGGGAGACTATAGGAATAACTGCAAATTCGACTGTTTTCGTTTACGAATCGTCCCTTGACGTTCCAGTACAGGAGCTTTATCACTTGGTAAAAAATCTCCGTTGTCAGCAAAGTTCTGAGCCTTCGTCAGTTGAAAACTTTTTACGTAAGTTATCAAATGATCCCTGTCCACTTCCCGCTTGTAATTTCCGTTCTGTGCTCTTTTTCCGTGATCACAAGCTTCTGGTTTACTTAACGAGAGTGACTGTAAGATGTACTAAGTTTGCAGAACTGTTCAGTGTAAGTTTTGGAGAGTGCGTCCCATCTGGCTCGGAAGATACCCACCTAGGAAATTCATCTCTGAAGTTCTTAAGATCCTTTCATTGCAGCTGCACTTTTGAGGAGAAAACAAGCGAGACACTTCGGGTGATAATCAGGCACAGCAAAGGCTTGAAAAGGATTGGATTCGAAGGAAAAGGGTGCCACGTCTGCGAATTTTTGAAACAGGTGCCAAACCCCAGTGAATGTTGTGTGTCACTCGGCGCCACTCTTTATTCGTCCATCGACGAACTGGAATTGTCTACGGCAGAAATAGAAGAGCTAGCCAGGGTATTGCCAAGATTTAAAAACATTGTCGCTCTTTGTTTCAACTTTTCTCGATGCGCTAGAAAAGCAATAGACACATTAGTTACCAGTTTAACTCATCAATCTACTGTAATACTGAAATTTAGAGGAATACAGCTGACTTCTGCAGTGGTTGGAGCCCTCGGCCGGTTGCTTCCAAACATGTCATCCTTACAAGTTCTTGAGTTGACCGGGTCGGGACAAAGGATGTTGGAAGAGGAGGACATGGAGAGGTTATTTGGTGGATTCAACAAACCGGCACTACATTTGCTAAGGCTTACTTTCAGTGGTTTTAACGTGAGTTGTCTTCATCCGCTTACCGAACGTTTTCATTTTTTCGCCAACTTAGAAGAGTTACACTTTGAACGGTTGACCATGAATGAAGATGGTTTACGTTGCCTGCTAGAAGCCTTGAAGCTCAAGATCGATGCATTAAGTATTACGAGCCATTGTTCGGCTTCTCCATTCCTTTGCAATCTAGTGTCCTGGAAAAACCCCAAGAAGTTTGGAAGACCAGAGAACAACCTGACTCTGGAGGAATTAAGCTTGACTCCAGGTACAGCTGCAGTGCTGGGACGGTCACTTCCTGAAATGTCGGCCTTACAAAAACTGTCGCTGTGTAGATATAATAGAAAAAACAATGTGCAACCGAAAGTGTTAGAGGCGCTCTTTGGAGGATTTTACAAACCCCTGCCGCTGCGCGAGCTAATAATCTTTGGTTTCAAGTTAAGAGGTAGTCTTGTTCCACTCACAAAAAGCCTTCGTTTCTTCTCGAATCTGAGGCGGTTAATGCTTGAGGGGAACTTGGACGAGCGTAACTCGTGCGATTTGTTAAGGAGTTTGAGATTCACTCCTAGTCTAAAAGAGCTTGTCGTTGAGGGCAACCAGCTGGACTCCAATGATTGCTTCCTGGCGGAACCTGACTACTTATTCACTGAGAGAGTCACGCTCAACTTTCTTGAGAAACTGGTTCTGGATGGAGTAACCATGACCTTAACAGTGGCCAAGGTGCTTGGGCTTTTGCTTCCAAAAATGTCAGCATTAAAAACGCTAGCCTTAACTGGGGTGGAAGGTAGTACTTTAGAGGAAAATCATCTGGAGGCTCTGTTTTCTGGGCTCAGCAAAAAAATGTCTTTGGAGGTCCTTTCTCTCCGCGGCTTCAGCATCAGAAGTTGTCTTGTTCCTGTCTCCAAGAGATTTAACTACTTTTCTAGTTTAACCGAGATACTCTTTGGCCAGTTGCTCATGAATGAATGTAAATTATCTAGTTTCCTGGAGAGCTTAAGATTGATTCCTTGTCTGCAATGTCTTGAGAAACTGGTACTGGATGGAGTAACTATGACCTTAGCAGTGGCCAAGGTGCTTGGGCTTTTGCTTCCAGAAATGTCAGCATTAAAAACGCTTGAGTTAACCGGGGTGGAAGGTAATACTTTAGAGGAAAATCATCTGGAGGCTCTGTTTTCTGGGCTCAACAAAATAATGTCTTTGAAGGTCCTTTCTCTCCGGGGCTTCAGCATCAAAAGTTGTCTCGTTCCTGTCTCCAAAAGATTGCACTACCTTTCTAGTTTAACCGAGATGATTTTTGACCAGTTGCTCATAGATGAATGTAAATTATGTAGTTTTGTGGAAAGCTTGAGATTGAATCCTTGTCTGCAGCGTCTCAACTTAAAGATTCAGTCTCAAAGTACTACTGACTGCTGCACAACGGAAGCCGACAAAGTCGATTGTTTCAAACTAACTTCCCTCCAAGAACTGACACTGGAGGGTGCATGCGTGACCCCAATGATGGCAAGGGTGCTTGGGCGTTCCCTTCCAGAAATGTGTTTATTAAACACTTTAAAGATATTCGGGATGGATAGCATTTTGCGAGAAAAGGATATGGAGGCTCTGTTTGGCGGGTTGAACAAAACAATGTCTTTGCGCTCCCTAACTTTCAACAATTTTAGCGTGAAAGGATGTGTCGCTCCTCTAACCAGAAAGTTGCGTTTCTTTCCCAACTTGATGTATCTCGACCTCAAGATGCTAAACTTGGATAGTTTTGACCTCTGTAGTATACTAGAAGCCCTTCTCGAGGTCCGTGGTTTATCCGTAGTGACGCTTTCAAGTAAACAGTTTGTTCAGGAAGTAACACGTGTTGTACAACACCTCTTCAACCTACCGGTAAGGTGTATAGGGTTCTGTGTTTTTATTGATCAAACAGCTTCTGAAGAAGTCTTGAGGGAAATTAGAGATGCCATCAAAGAAACACGACCTAACGTTTCCTTTATACCCGACGAACGTGATATAGTCTTCTATGTTTTTCATCCGACATTCCATTCCATTTTTTACATAAACCCAGTGAAACCGCCGTAAACCCTCAGTTGGTCAAATTTTCCAAAATGGGTTATGCGTAGTTTGTTGGCATAAGCAAACAATTTTGCAGTCCTGTCAGTGTTCGTCATTGTTGTTTGCCTGTGTAACGAAGTTTCCAGAACACAAGGGAACAATCTAGAACGTTGATTTACCGCATCGGGGCGGCTATTTTTAAGCTGTACTAGAACCTTCTCCGTATTCCAGAACATTCTATTGAGTTATTTTAAGGATGTGTCGTCATGAGCGTCTAGAGTGTTCCTGCTACTAAAAATATTATTTTAAATATAAGTATGATGTAATCGGTTACTATACATAAGGTTTTCAGAAGCTTAAGATTCCAGTAAAAAGTTAAGTCGCAGACCAATAAAGTGGAAAACAAGAATCTTCTAGCTTCGTGACAGCCTGTAAGCGATTTTTGACATTACACGAGAGGATGATCGTCCGTTCTTGCATTGCAAAAAAGGCAGTTGCTTAAAATAAAGTGGCATTACGTGAATTCGGGAGAAGCTTTAGTTGTGGGAAAAAAAAAAACAAGACTGAATCTTTTGTCAACGTTGCCGGAGATAGCCTCCAGCTCACTAAAATGGGGGGAGGCGGGACTTAGGTCCCCCCCCTCCACTCAACTTTTTGATTGCTGCCTCACCGCCTATGCCAGACCACGATATCACCGCATCATTCTTCGATTCTATGTAATAATGTGAAGCGTGCTTGAATAAAACGAAAGCTCTCAAATGCCTCAAAAATATGAGTGTTGTTAACGTTGATACCCCAAAGCGAGTGGTGTTTGTTCAGCTGTAACACAAAACTTTTAGCAATCTCGATCCTGAGAGCAAACGGTTGGTAAGCCTCTCAGAGTACATACCCGCTTTGCACATTCCCAGCCGTCATTGAAAATACTTTTTGAGCAATAAAGGGCCTTATTTGGATTTCTATAATATGATATTTAAATTTTGCAAAATCGCTTTGAATTCAAGTAGAGCGGAGCTCGTAAGGGAATATGACGACATATCAAGGTGAAAACACTTAGTATTGACTTGTCTATACGTCCGTTTATCCGTCTGTACTTACGCAATTTCGAAACTTTGTTTCATCACAAAAGAAGTTTCTCGATCCACTTCAACATTTGGGAGTTTCAGATGAAAAGTAATTGTGTTCAGTACAAAACTCTCAAATCTATGAAAGGAATACATCAAAATCTAAGGAGAAACGAAATGAGCTTTCGACTTTTAACTTTGCAGAATCCTACAGGAAGTGTTTCATGTCATCACAAGTTTATACCCAGTTTCCAAGTTCGAAAAACGAAACAAGATGAACACTGCTCACAGTTAGGTAAAGCTAGTCTAGGCGAGCAGTAGCTTAAGGTAAAGTTAAAGAATCTCGTCCCACCAACGTATTGGCCAACGCGTCAGTCGACACACTACCGACACACCACAGACACATTACCAACGCCGGTCAGCCAACACGTACCGACGCGTTGGTAAGATCAACCGACGCGTCGACCGACACATTACTGACACAATACCAACGCAAACAGAATATTAATCCTTAATCTAGCAGGATTGCATCAATAAAGAATGAAAAATACATTACAGTAACTAACAAGTGTCTTAAAACTGACATGAAAGGTTCTTTTACACTTGTCGTCGATTGCATACGTGACCGACCATAGACCTTTAAAAGCAAAAAAAAAAGACTTTACTTTATCGTTTGTGGTAGCATGCAGGACACGTGTCATATTTGGCCTTGCTCACCATAGAGCCCTCTGTAGCTCAGTGGTAGAGTATCGGAGCGCTGAACCCGATTGTCTGAGGTTTGACTCCTCATAATAATAATAAATAAATAATAAATAATTTAGCAGTGGACATTCCACTAGGTGGCTCTTCTTGTCCAGGTCTCTCATGGAGAGTCTTCAGTCTCACGCTCATGACATAACGAAAAAAACATCTTTATCGACATAAATTTAGTTTGTACCTCTCTCTAAGTAACTATGTGGTGTTGATATCATTGATATGTTCTTTAAACGGGATACAACTGAACAATATTCTTTTAAAGAGTTTAACTGAGGAGTTTTAAACTACACTGAGTTACGGCTTAGGAAAGCTTCTTGTATTGAGAAGCAAAGAAAGGCAAAATAAGATTATTGAAAATTTTATTGAATATTCATTGGCTTAAAATGAAGTGTCTTAACTGGTTTTTAGAGTTTCAAATGCATTTAAAAACATCGCTGAATGGAAAATTTAACAATAATTCAAATAGTTCGTATCTTCCATTCAAAACTGATCAATCTTTGACAGGTGCGGTTGGTTTATATTTTACAACCAAAGACTTATCGTCTTATAAAAGAGCTACAACTACCACCATAAAGCAAGTTCGTTTTACGATTGTACGACTACTAGGCTTGTGCAAATGAAGTTTAAGCATTTATTAAATTTTCGATTCTGAATATTTCTTTTCTAGTGTTCTGATTAGTTCACTCATCTCCAGTTATCAGCTCATATTCTGTATTCATTAAAGTGAATTGCGCCGGAAAATATCCAACCATTCAGGATTTAATGAAAACTAATGATGAAGCTCTTCCATTTGAGATTGTTGGATAGGAGAGAGGTTATAGCCAACCCGGCGCTACGTACCTACCTTGTTGGCTATTTACTATCTCGTATTCAACGTGCGCTCCTGTAATCAATCCTGTAATCAATCCTGTAATCAAGTTTAATGTCTTTGCGTGGTGCATGGTTGCCCATATTGCCCGAGCCAGAGGCTCATATAATCGCAAGACAACACCCACCCATCCCACCCCAGGGGAGGACATCCATCACACAGTAATCTCGTGCGTGGGAAATTAACGTCTCCTACCCCTAACCCTGCAGGAGACGGGACCTCCATTTATTCGTCCCTATCCGAGAAGACTAGAATATCTAAACCATTTCTTGATGTTATAGAAAGGCAGCATATTCTTCTCAATTATTTTAAGACCTTGAGTGTTGGTCCGGCCGGGGCTCGAACCCTCGACCTCCCGCACATCAGTCCAGCGCTCTATCCATTGAGCTAACCGGGAGGCGGTT